CTCTCTCTCTCAGCCCCCGCCTCAATCCCTCACCTTCCTCTTATCCCCCTTTCACACCCTCCTCTCTCACACCCTCTTTTCAAACCTATCTTCCTCTCAATCACTCTCTCTTAACCACACTCTCTTTCTCTGAGTCACACTCCCCCTCTGACCCTCGCTCGCTCTCACCCTTTCTCTTTCACCTTCTGTTTTTCATCCTCGCTCACCCTCTCCCTCTCTTCCCCCCTCCCTGTCTATCTCTCACTCACTCACCCTCTCTGTCTCACTCTCTAGTTAGAAGCTTTAGAAGCCGTTTTTGCACAGACGCATTACCCAGACGTATTCACCAGGGAAGAGCTCGCAATGAAGATAAATCTCACTGAAGCAAGAGTTCAGGTAAATCATCTTTTAGAAAAAGAGCTGAGCGTTCAGACTTTGCGCGACTGTCAGTGTAAAGTGCATATTTGGCTAGAGATAAAACAAATGAAAGACTATCTGTCATTTATGTGATGCACTTTAATAACGTCAACATAATGTGGAATATTAGATTAGGTTGATTAATCGGTCATTCATAATTAACTAGTGATAATGTTCTACACTAATTTGTCCGTGTCTCTAAGGCACTAAATTACATCAATGCACATCCATTTCCTTGCCTCGGAAAAAGCTCCAAACTACCTTTTAAAATTGGAACACAAACTGATTTTGAGATTGAACTGAATAAAAGCAGGAAGCTACACTGCAATCTTGAGTTAGCAAGTCTGTAGCTGCATACGCAGGAACACTCAGGCCTGAATGTAGATCCATTAAACAATAACTCCCTCCCCTCCTCCCCATTTTTAGTAGGGACTTGCACGCACGCATTTATGAATCTTTCAAATTTGCACAGGGTGAGATCTGCGAGCCAACGTAATTGTAAGTATTATAATAGTATGACTCGAGTCCCTGAGGGTCACCGTGCTATCGTTTAAAACACAATAAATGGAGCGAGATAATGGAATTCATTGCTCTAAATTAGGGATTGTAAACAGATTATTCTTCCTTAAACGGATTAAGGGATCCTGTTTATTAAATCTAGCCATGAAGTGGCGTTCACACGGAGGCGTTATTATTTTCGAATGGGATCCTTGTTCAGATATAGTTTTAAATGCTCACTGAACGTCGCCTGCTCTCCTACTGCCGGGGAAGGAACTGTAAATTAAGATAAATGCAGCAATTAGGGAGTATTCAGGACCGGCGGATCACGACTTCATGCTGGAAGGTGTAGGGATGATATAGCAAATTGAGACAATTATTCTGCAAACAGCGTAGCAGAATCTTTTGAATCGTTCTTTTATTCCGTGTCCCTGACTGAAGGCAAAAACCAACTGACAAATAAAACAAAAATCACGCCAACCCCCTCCTCACAAATACAAAACGCTGCAAAGATTCAGTAACCCACTAAAACATGATTAATGCGTTAGAAAGCCGAGCCTTAATCGAGGCTGATGTTGTCAAATAATCACTAAATAGGAAATAAACGACTTCATCATGCATGTTACTCAGAAGCAGGCTAACTGTCACTGGAAAGTCATTAAAATATGATAATGAAAAATTGCTCAATTAAATGTTGTTATAGCCAGCGACCTTCATTCAATTACGATGCAAGAAGTTGTCTGCATCTGGTCCACACTTAACTGACCCAAGTTTACATGATTATAAAGTCATTAATATCTTTGTGGAGCTAACTGCAATTTCAAATCGCCCACATATACCTGACTGGGGAGATTGTGGGGGAGTTCTGTCTGATGGAATCCCGGGACAAATTGAGGGAAAAACCTATTGAGTTCCAGTTTATAAATCTGATCCCTATTTATTGCTTTATGGTAGAGCGTGGCCCGCTAACAGGGAGACACCGCCTTTCCCCATGTAAGCTGTCATAAAGTGGAAAGGCGAAACCGTTCGTTCCGGATGGTTTGGGAATGACAATGAATTAGGTTGGGAATGGCAGAAAGTGTGTAAGAAGCGTTGGGACTTGGTGCAAATCTTAGGAATACCAGCCCGTTATATTGCAGACACTCTCTCTCAAAAAACAACGGTTTGGAAAGCGCTTGACATCTCTTCAAAACATGAGGTCGTGCAATTTCATTAGCCCAGCCCCTTAATAACCTATGCCCTGGCGCCAGAAATTGCACTTGTTCCACAACCATCAGATGAATATTATAGAGAGGGAGCGGGGAGGGTGTGGGGGAAGGAAGGGGAGTTCCTGAGTTGTACTGGGTCCAGTTTGATTTTTGTTTGTCCATTGTCCCGGCAGGTTTGGTTCCAAAACCGAAGGGCGAAATGGAGGAAAACAGAGAGGGGCAATTCCGATCAAGAAGCTGGGAAGGAGATTGCAGCCGAAGGTTCGCCTCCCATGAGAAACCTAAATTCCCCCTCTCCCATGGAGCCGACTCGGGGCAAAAAGGAATCGTTAGAAATGCAACAGAAGTAAGAAGGGGTGGGGGACGTGCAAATCTGAAGTTACACGGGGTGGGGGGGCATGTGTTTGGGTAAAATGTTCATTTTAAAATCGTCCCGTTAACGCTAGGTTTGTCTTTCAGCCTCGGCAGGACGGTAGGTCCTTCGGCCCCTTTCTTCCCCTCCTGCTTGCCCACGACTCTGCTCAATACGGCCACTTACGCCCAAGCTCTGACTCAAGTTGCAACGCTGAAGGGTAAGTTTTGGTTTAGTTCTTCTTGCAGATTCATTTCAGCGGCCGGCCTGGGCAATAGTCAGTCATACAGCCTGCTGCAAAACGAAGGGGTTACATTAAAGTTTAATTGAATTAAGCAAACTTTAGGACAAAATAAAAGGTGGGAACAGGGGAAATGTGTGATCCAAACACTGATATAAGCAGAAATAAAAACAGAAATTGCCGGAAAAAAAGTTCCTCAGTTCCGAGGAAGGGTCACTGGACCCGAAATGTTAACCCTGATTTTCTCCTCACAGATGCTGCTAGACCTGCTGAGCTTTTCCAGCAATTTCTGTTTTTGTTTCTGATTTACAGCATCCGCAGTTCTTTCGGTTTTTTTTTGTGTAAACAGGACGGCTAAGGACGCGTGAATCTGATTTCGATGCTGTTAGAACAGCTTTGTATACTCCAGTAGTGTCCAGCTTCCTGCAATCTCGAATTAATCGTGCTGAGATTCAGCTTTGAGCTGCTGTCACTCTGTCCTCTACCTTCTAAACCCCTTCACTTCTCTGAAAGACAACAAGTCAAATTAAACACCGAATAAAATGCTGCGCAGCTTCACCGTCCATTGAACCTGTCAGCGATCCAGGGGAGATCTGATGTGACCCTTTTATGGCATTAAGTATCTTTCCACTGGGCGATGCGACAAAAGCGGCGCGTTTCACATCCCGCCCCCAACATGTTCAGCACAACACAAGTACATCCTTAAAACTAGACTGGAGTCTCTTCTGACGCTGTTTCGGGGAAATTTGCGCGGAACCAGCATCCAATAGTAACCAAGAAAACAGGCAGTTCGACCCCGCAGAATAAGAACAGCTAGGTTTCAGGAGAGATTTCTGATAAGGTTTCCTCCTGTAGGGAACGACCCTCTAACAACCGCCACTCTAATTGTTTCCCCTATCAAGACCCTGAAATGACGCCCCACTGTTCAATCAATCCAGTTGTTACAATTCCGATCAAAACAGCCTGTTTGAGTTGTACAAAAGGTGACATTCAGAACCAGTGTGGATTTTTACAAGCGCCGTCTTCCGACTGTAATTCTGAGCGTCAACAGTCTGTAGGGTTAACATATTAAAGCAAGCCTGTGAGACCTGTTACTCATTAAATTAAATTTTGGGAAAGCACGGAGTTGTTCTGGTGCAGTGGGTCCTCATATGGAACACACCTTTGGTTCTATTCCGGGTTCATCACAGACCTACAAAGTATACGGAGTTAATGGTAGCCAGTGTCATTGAGAGGCAGCACAAATAATTAATATTTGTGAAGCTACATCTCAGTTTGAACAAGTGAGTTCTTATTACCCACTTAAAACTTCATAATGAATTCTGATAAAAAGAAGGAACGGAATTGGTAATTGAAAATGGTAGTTTTAACTTTCGTGATTTAGACAATGAAATTAAGACTCACTAGAAAAGAGGAAACACTTAAAATGTCAAACCAAAATCATTAATTGTTCCTGAATTGGAATGAAGAGTTATAACCGTATTTCTATAAACTAAACATGGCACGTGTAGAAATAGATAATCTTGTGTACATCTTGGTGTCTTGCCATCTACCGCTAGTCCGTTGCTGCAGGCTGAGTGAAACCACAATGTATTTTTTTTCCGTTGGTAACAAGTTTGATGTTGGCTTCTTGTTAACTGCAAGTGACGTGTTTATTGTGTGGAGATGAACTGCAGACTCCGAGTCCCAAACTACACTAAAGTACTAACAGATCTATAATGTGTCCCAGATGCTGCCACTGGAGAAAGGAGGCACATACGCGAGTGTTTCTTGTAGCGATGGCATTGTTCTCTCCAATGTCCCATTTGTACCCAATGAATAACTTCATTGCAGTTACACAGTCCTCAAAAGTGTGAAAAAAGTAACCTCCTTTTTGCACCATAGACTCGAATAAGACAAAAGGAGTGGGCAGAATATAAGCACAATATAGTTTTATTCAAAACATCATGACAAGGTGTTTTGTGTCTTCAGTGAGCCGCTTAAGGTTCTGATGGCCAGAGTCAAAATATGATTATGAAAGCAAAACACCACAGATGTTGGAGATCTGAAATAAAAATGAAGTGCTAGAGAAAAACAATAGATCTGGCAGCATCTGGAGAGAGAAACCGAGTTAACATTTCATCTCCCAATATGATTCATCTTGAAGCAATCTATGATTGTGATTATGCTAGTTAAAAAAAAATTGATGCACAGGCTGAAAGTTGGCTTTATATCCAAAAGTTGAACATAATGAGCCATATGGTTAACTTAAGTGTTGATGTTAGACAAATGAATGCTTATTTTTGGGAGAAGGACCATTTTAGGTCTAATGAGAGTCTACTCTGCCATTTGATGATTAGAAAATTAACATAGTGTGAGTGTGGAGAAATAACAGTGCTCGAAGGCCCAAATGTGTCCTTCAATCTGCAGCACACAAGGAATGAACATTGAGGACACAGCCTTTTTTTAAATAATGAGAAACCCGTGTGAAAGGGTAAGTTTCCTTGTGCACCAAAGGAAGAGAAGATTCAGTTATAGAAAAGTAATATAGCTGACACCAAATATACAGTGCCAATGCGGAATTATCTTTCCAAAGTGAGGCCACATTTAATATCAAATAATCCCTGTTCCGATCAGCCTTATTAACACCAGACCATATCATTCCTTTTCGTAAATTGTTCTTTTTTTTTGCTGGAATCTTCGAGAGATTTGCATTCTGACATCCTGGACTTTTTTCTGAAAGGTTGTGTATGGTTTTTATCAAGTTTCCACATTCTTTCCATTTTGACAATGTACAATACTTCAGAGTCTTTTCACAAAGGGTTTTTAATTCCGGTCTGGAACGGTCAACCTTAACATTATTCTTGAGTTGGAACCCTCCTGTCCTTTATGGTTAACATTATATAGACTCAACATGAGCTTAGCTGCATTTCCTCCATGCATGCTGCACATTGTAGCAAGAGCTGAGTGCTAGTTGTGTGTAATTCTCAATGTATAACTTATCAATATTTTAGAACTCACATCTCAACTTTGATATGATATGACGCCCATTCTGATTATTGGCATCATCTCTCCATCCCTTTATTATTTCCAATCAGCATTATCTAAATGTAACATGAAATATGATGATCCATAGATCATAAATTAGCTGGAGGACAAACATTATTTTAGAATGAACCATATAACGACTTCTGGGTAAATAAAGTAATATATGTCCACTGAACACAAGAACACAGATATTCATGTTCAGTTAGACTGTCCTAGTTTTCTGTGTCTCTGTTTCTATTCAAGGGCCATTGGTCAGTGCTGAATCATATATTTGGGTTCAAGTATTTCTCTTTGTAATTACTGCATATATTTGCTTACACTGGGTATGGCTGAGGTGTCCAAACTGTGGCCATAGATCACATACTCCCAATCCATTTCTATCTGTTTATATTTCATACCCATTGCTTTGTTCCTTTTGACTATTAGGCTGGCAAAACTTCTTACAGTCCCACAGTGGACAAACTTGGGATAATATGCATTGTGGATGACAAATGGTTATTAGCATTGTGAGTTGAAATGAAGAAAAAAATACTTGCTTTGGTTTGATGTCTTTGGACTTGTTCAAATTGAGTCTCGAATTTGATCCCAATTGGGGGTCCAGAATCTCAGTTTTAAAATTATTTCCATTCAGGCAGCAAGTTAAATATTCTTAAGAATGTGGCCAAGAATGCAGTGCCAAAGAGTTACTTTATTTGAAATCAGTGCCAACATGCAGGATGGCCTGTCCCAAAATTATCGTTGTAAAATTGCTTTGATGGATCAAATCATTGCATTAAACTATAATCACATATGGCTTCTAATCTAACCTGATATTGTTTTGAAGTTGCTTTTTGATGCAGTAGTCCATGAAATTCTGCTCAAATCTCTCCTCCTTTAAACAACTTCGTGAGACTGCTCATTCCTGGTTCAATTTTTTTCTCTTTATTTCATTGAAGAATCTGCAGTGATTTTTCTTATTGCTCCTGCACCTTCTATCCCTGGTATTTTCTCCCAAGGATCCATAGTGGGGCCCTCCCATTTCTCATCGAGATGTGCCTTCAGTGATCTTTTTCACATGCCCACTGGTGTCCAGCTCTGCTTCCCCATTACCTCTCTTGACCTTTCACTGTCTCTAAACTGTCAGATTGTTTGTCAGTAATGGATAAGTAGAAATTCACACTAATAGCAAAGTACAATATTTTTGTTCCTGTTCACAAACTCTGTTCACTGACACCATCTAGCACTCTAGCACTGTCAGAGGCTGAACCAAAACCTTTCCAACCATTCTTGACTCTGAGCTGAGCATTCTGTCACGTCTGCACCATCACTAAGACTGTGCATATTCACCCCTGTGACACCACCTAACTCCACTCTAACTCCAGCCCTTTGGTGATGGAATTGTTAGATCTCAGACTTCACTATTTCAATTTGCTCCTCATCAGTCTCCTTGGCCCAATCCTTCTTTAATCTGAAGTATTCTAAACAATGCTGTAAGTGTCCTAAGTTGCCACAATTCCTACTCACTTACACTCCCCTGTGCTTGGTGATCTAAGTTGACTAAACAATGCGTTTAATTTCAAAATTCTCTTCCATATTCTCAACTCTTTAAGTAGTTTCACCCCTCCATATCTCTCTTCCAGTCTTACAGCAACAACCACCAACTTCTAAACAAGATGCCAAAAATCGCTGTGCTCTACCAGTTTTAGATTCTGAACTATTCCTGATCTTAACTGCTCCACTATAGTCAGCTATGCCATCAACTAAAATGGCCCAAAGCTCAGAAATTCCCTCTATAAATCTCTCCACTTCTCTACTTCTCTCCTTCAATAAGAAGTTCCTGAAAAATGACCTACTTCACCAAACTTTTTGGGTTAATCTGTGGTTCATTGCCAAATTTCATTTTGTAAAGCACCAAGTTATTTGAATAAATTAGAGGTGCTGTATGTAAAGTGCTGTTGCTGAAAGTGTCAGTTTCCTAAAGTAGTTCCTTTTGCAGAATTTACTTTTCACTAGACTGACAGAGAAACAAAATATTAGTAACTTTTTATTTGATTCAAGAAATGGGAAAACTTTTAATCTCATCTCACATATGCTTCATGATCCAGCAATTTTCTTCATTGTAATTTGTGATACTTCATTATGATTCGAAACCTAGGGCATTGTTTGCTAATAACCTCATGAAATTTGTGCCCCATTGAAATGTCCAATCAGTCAACTGCTCTGAGTTTGCTTTGAAACAGTTAGATGGGAAATGGCGAAGGTTGTTGCCCTATATTGCTTCTGTTTTCATATTTATTAAATCCGTTTGAGAATATTGTAAAAAGATACTCAAGACACATTGTTTTCTGGTCCTAAAATGTTGTTGTAGGTCAGATTTCTGTGTGAATGTTTAAACTTTGTAGAATGCAGCTTTTCCATGTGTGAACATGTGTAATTAAGATGCCTGTTTTTGTTCTTAGGAAATTCCCTATGTTCCTGCTGTGTGCCAGACCCAATGGGTCTCTCCTTTTTGCCCCCCTATGGTTGCCAGAGCAATCGAACAGCTAGTGTAGCTGCATTGCGCATGAAAGCACGTGAACACTCTGAGGCAGTGCTCCAGTCAGCCAACCTGCTTCCAACAGCTAACAACAGCCCTGCTGTTGGATCGAAACCCTCCTTGGATACTGACCAGGAGAAGGCCAGCCATCCCAAAGAGAAGATTGAGGCTGAACGGAACTTATGAGGGGAAGGAGAGAGAACCGTAACTGTAGAGATAACACTTAAGATCACTTTATGGCATCACTGTGAATATTCTCACAGCTGTAAAGATATTGGATCCACCATATGATCAAGACATGACACCATCTGTACAAAAACAAAGACGCTCTTACCTGGGTCAAAGCCAAAAAGATGTATATAAATGAATTCTGGATCTTTTGCAATGCAGCGGTTGCCTTCCTTTTTTTCTTTTAACCATGTTTATTCCACTCTTGACTACATGGGAAGATTATCACATGCTAGAATTGCCTTGCACTAAAACTGTGCAGCAGGTATTTAAGGAGAAAATGCATGAGATCAACAAACCCACTTCCTCAGACCACAAGCAATTTTACCTATTCCCTTTTTATAATGCAATGGGGAAAGAATATAATCTCACGCAGGTAAGTGAGTATAGATCAAGTAAAAGAACACAAAAAGCACCTGCCGATTGTTTGCTAAATTTGCAAATACAAGTGGTTGTTCTGGAAGAGGTGACCTTCAGTGTGCAATAAAGCTGTAAGCTTCTATGTCATTATGATACAGTAGATTTCTATTAAGTGGATAAACTGTTAACAGGAATTCATTTGAAATATTAATAGCACAATCTCTGGTATACTTTCACCGCAACAAAAGGATTTATGAATTTAATTTTATGCTGTTAATTTTAGCTTGACATTCTGAAATATGAAAACACTCTAACAGATACAAGCAGTGAGACACTACAGGACTGTGCATATTGTGAACCATAAATACAACTAAAACACGTTTTTGGGAAGGACAAATATTGTATTCATTGAGGAAGTTGTAGTGAAGGCAAAATAGGCAGACCAGCCCTAAAACTGAATGGAATCTTTCATTATTGCTAATTTATTTTTGCTGAAATTCTCACTAGTCAGATTTTTTTTACTGAGAGCAGTTCAGTGAGCACACCACAGGTCATGTCTTCTGGAACATCATCCCTTAAGCAGCCTTTGTCTTAGATTACTGACCATATTCTGAGACAATCCATGCATCCCAATTTATAATAATTGGGATATTACCTATTTTTCTCCAAAACATGATTTAGGGCATAAAATTGAACTTTACACAATCTCAGCTCCCATAGCCTAACTTTTAATTGTTTTATTAAATTTGTATTTCCAACAGAAAGGTACATAAATAAATGAACTGTTGAGCGAATTAAGAATACTTAACAGCGTTGCATCCGAAAAGTAGTTACACTGATTAAATTTTGTGTCCTTGAGGATTTTCAGGAAATTACTTTTGATCGTCAATAACACAATTAAGTAAACTACACGCACATTAGCATGAATAATTGATAAGAAATTATGTATTACCACGAAGTACTGATTTAATAATTCATGATGCGACACTAGTGACTGTTGCAGTCCTAGATAACGTGGAATTCTTGCCTGATGCTTGAGGCAGTGTGCAATTACAAGGGTTGGAAGGTGGAAGGTTGTGTATTTATGATGCATGGTTTAACCTCTTTGTTAAAAAAAATAAATTAATAAAGATTAAAAAGTAATTGGGATGGCTCAATTTATTTAACAGGACAGTAAGCATAAGGTGAAGAATTAAATCATGCCACAAATCTGTTCCAATAATCCATGCTCTTGAAATGTTAACACACACACTAATCTATTCTATTAATGGCAATTTTATCCTTGCATATTTTGCTTCTGAAAGTGCAGTGAGGCTGTGAGTTACATTTTGGAAACGCAAAGCTTTTAAAAAATTTTTTTGCGTTGGTTCTGATCAATTGCCCAATCAATTCTGAACATCCCTCCTGAAAATCGTTAAAATACTTCACTTTTTGTTAAATGCAATGAATGTTGCAGTGTCCTGATACAGTAAATCCTATCCTGCTCATTCAGCAGCATTGTAAAAGCCTAGACATCATCCCACTCTGGTTTATCGAATATCATTTCCGACTTGTTCATCAATCATATTTCACATTTCAATTCTTCTGATGTTCAGTCGTCTTTACTGCCAATCACTTTGTTTAATTATTTAGACTTTGTTTTCTTGGAGCATTATGACTACTTGTTTATAACCGAATAGGTGCACAGCCTTAACAAACTGATCCTAAATAGCTTGGAATTTAAGCTGTTTGCTGTGGGAGATGGGAAGACCTGGAATTCTGTTTTTAAAAAAGTTACTTGGTGGAAGTTTAAAAACCTCCCTGCCATGCCTCCTCAGATTTTGTGGAGGTATTGACTGAGTCCTTTGTTGCTGGTTGGTCTTTGGTCTCCTATCCAAATTACTGTATGAACCTGGCTTTCTAACTATGGGGATAACTGCAATTCTGTCCTAGCTGGATGACCTCATGGGTTCATGTTTAAACAAGGGGCTCATATCAGGAGTCAGTTCTCTGCTGGGCTTTTCTTAATTTATCTTAGCCTAACTCTGGCTGAGCTCAGCATAGTCAAGGGATCAAAATTTAGACCATACTATGCTTTATAGGTCAGTTCTTCATCATGTGATAATGCTGAAAGTGTCTTTTCTACGATAATGATGTCATTTTCATCGCTTTAAAAATGCTATTTTTAAAGCCCCATTGGAAGAATGAGAACATTCACTGCTTTTAACAAAGCCATTTCAGGCAATTGCAAATATGCTCTGTACAAAATCCAAGGCACAGTCAAAGAATGGCTTGCCAATTTCATTTCCAAGTGGAGGAGATATCCATTATTGAAGACCATTTTTAAAATTCATTCTTGGAAAGTGAGTAGAGCTATAGAGTCACAGACCCTTCGATCAAACCAGTCCTTGCTGACCATGTTCCCAAACTAAACTAGTTCCATCTGCCTGTGCTTGGTCCATATCCCTCCAAAGTTTTCCTATTTGTGAACCTATCCAAGATGTTGTGGCTATTGTCAAAAATGCATCCCTAATTATCCATGAAGGTTGTGGGTGGGGGGTTGTCTTCTTGAAGGCCATGTGCTAAGTGCATTCCCACAATGCTTTTAAACGGGGCAGTGTCATGACCTTCAACTCACAATGAAGGAACAGTGATTATAAACCAGCATTAGGACAGTGTGTGACTTGGAGGAGCACATTTCCATACATGTGCTTCCACGTTTTCTTAGGTGCTGGATGCCTCCAATTCAGAAGGTGTTGCCAAGGAAGCCTTGGTGAGCTTCTACAGTGCATCATGTAGATAGTTCACAGTGTAACATTGATTCCTCCTTGAGATTCCATCTCCATTCATTTCCTTCTCTATGCCATATATCATTTGGATTGTAGAATAAGAATGAGGATTTCAGTTTGTCATTAGCAATAATATACAGGTATACAGTCTATTAAAGTTGGTCTTAGAACATTAAAATAAATAAAGTAATGTTTATTTCAGTGCACTGGAAATCTATTATTCTGTAAGTTTTAAAAAGGCATACATGTAGAAAAGCACTCCAATCTTATGTCTCATTAAAACTCCTTGTTACTTCCAAAGTTTTAGAAGTTGGGGGCAATTCCTCTCTGGTTTCAGCATATTGATATATTGAAAGCTTTGTGAGTTCTTAAAGTCTGATGCACTTCAGGGTCTGGAAGAGTTCAGTCTGATGGGAAAAGTAGATCATGGTTTAAAGTCTAAAGAATGGAGTTGGATGGGGTGGGGAAAGGAGTGACTTTAAGTTACATAATGTCAATATTACAAAGGCTTTTTAACTTGTCGTCAGAGGTACATATTCTTCTATTTGATCCAATGATTCTCAGGTTTGAGACCTTGCGCTGGGTTTTATGCCCACTGTTGCTTATGTTTTTTGGCAGAGGGGAAAATGCCGAATATGCAAGATAGCTGGCTCACCTTCTTTCCTTCCACCAACAACTCATTTCCCCATATTATGGCAGACAGCTTAGTACCCAATCATTTCTCACTTTGAGATTGCAATTCAACTGCTCTGCCATAGCATCCTGAGTGGTAGAACATGAGTCCGAGTTATAAGGTAGGCTTTATAACACAATTGGTTATAGGTTGGGAAGGAACTAGGAGTCAGCTACCTCCTTTGGGAGTTCCCTGCGCACCTGAGGAGCACCCCTGCCCCACCTTGATGATATCCTCCATACATTGTACTGCCCCATCTAGCCTTCAATCCTCTCCCCACTTACCTTAGGCTGCCTTGAACTTGCCCACCCAAAACTTCCAGGATCTACCTAGATTTGGGATCTGCCCTCAATCTCCAGGAAGCCCTTAATGTGCCAGCACCACTCACTACTGAGTTCTGGTGCTGCTGGATCTACTGGACCCCAGGTCTAAGGGGCCAGTTGTCCTATCACTGAGAGGCTGAAGTCCCACTCTCAGTGAGTTTAGCTGTTCTCCCCCCAACCACGCATTGTGTTCAGGCTGCATGGAATCTGGGATATTTGCTTCTGGAATACTTTTAATTACTTTTAATAGACTCTTGATGAGCAAGGAGATGAAAGCATATTGGAGTTGGCAGGATTGTGGAGTAATCAGTTCAGCCTGGACCTTATTGAGTGGCTGAACTGACACGAGGGGCCGAGTGGCCTAGTTCTGCTCCCAGTTGGACAGCCAACTTTCTTTCCAGTGGCAGGGTGGGTGGGCAGGCCACCTCCATCATCAAGCTCAATTTTTGGGTCAGAAATGGATCATCATGCATCAAATGCTTGTCTCATCTGTCATCTGTGAATCAGTCTGCCCACTTGTTTATTCAAGCTCTGAATATCTACATGATCATCTGACCAAGATCTCACAACATCATAACATTTCTTTTCAATTTGTGCCCACTATTCTTTCACTAAGCACAAGATTAATTCCATGGAAGAAGACTTTTGTCTCATTTCATAGTGTCCTTCCTGTTTAGCTGTAGAATCTTTACCACTAAACATACAAACAAGGAGCAGAAGGAAATCAGTTGACTCCTCAATCCAAGGTCATGGCTGATCTGATTGTAACCTCCAATCCACATTTCCACTTAGCCTTGGTAACATTTTTACTTCTTGCTTAACAAGAATCTACGTACTCTTCCTCATAAATATTCAAAGATATTTTACTATCTTTCAGGAAGAGAGTACCAAAGACCCATGACTTCCTGTGAGCCTCATCAGTGTTCTAAATGGGAGACCCCTTAATTTTAAACAGTGACCTTAGTTCTAGATTCTGAATAAGAGGACATGTCTTCTCCACCTCCAGACCCTTCAGAATTTTATGTGTGTCTGCTAAGTCACCTTACTCTTCTAAACTTAAAAAGAGGATTGATTGATTTGATTTGATTGATTTGGTTTACTATCACATGTACCTAAGTACAGTGAAAAGCTTTGTTTGTGAGTAGTACAGGCAGATCATAGGGTGAAAAAAACTCAGACAGAGTGAGGC